AAAAAAAAAAAAAGAACTCACACCTACATATTTATCTGGTCTGTCCAGAAAGTATCCGGCTGCTGTTAATACTATTTTTCATATCGCATGAATGGATACCTTCCAGGCAGACCTTGTATGGGTAGCAAGAGAAAGAGATGAAGCCAATGGGTAAATGCTTAAGATTCAGGTAATGTGGGTAAAAAGCATGTAGGGATTTGTAAACTGCTCGTACCTTTCTAGAAATATTAAATTAAGTCTAAAAACAAATAATAAACACACACGCACAAAATCTCATAAAACAAACAAAACTTAATTCAAATGGGAAGGAAGGTGTCTCCAGGGAGGTGAACCTGTTTGTCAGCCCCCCTTTCTCTCCCTTTCTCCTTCCTGACTGGCTCTTGTGAAAGGCCCCTCCAAGGTTGGAAAGAGAGGGAGAAAGTCAAAGAAAAGGGTTTTCATCAGTGAGTGGCTCACAGAGTTGTGAACTGGAGTTGGTGCCCTCTGGTAAGGCAAATTTCAGGTTCTGTCAAGGGGCATTTGTGGATATTTTCAACACTCATTGCATTTCTTTTGTGGGTAATGCCTCAGCTAGCTTTTCGCTTGGTAATACATTTCCAGAGATGGTTGGTTTTATGTCTCAACTTGGCTAGGTTACAGTACCCAGTAACTCAATAATCAAACACTAATCTTAGGTGTTGCTGTGAAGATATTGTGGAGATGCCATCAATAGCTACAATTAGTTGACTTCTTTATGCAAAACAGATTGTCCTCAATAGGTTGGGTGGGCATGATCTTATCAGTTGCTTTAACAACAGTTGAAATCTTTTTATTTATTTTAGAGACAGAGTCATGTTTTGTCACCCTCGGTAGAGTGCTGTAGCATCACAGCTCACAGCAACCTCTAGCTCTTAGGCTTAGGTGAATCTCTTGCCTCAGACTCTCAAGTAGCTGGGACTACAGGTGCCTGCCACAATATCCAGCTATTTTTTGTTGAAATTTGGCCGGGGTTGGGCTCGAACCCACTACCCTTGGTATATGGGGCCAGTGCTCTACTCACTGTGCCACAGGCACCACCTAACAATTGAAATCTTGATGGTTATGTCAAAGAATGTCCTTATTTTTAGGAAATACATACTAAAGTATTTATGGGCAAGGGCAGAATTGTAGTTTCCTCTACCTGTGAACTTCAGGAACAACTGCCCAAGAGTTTTCAGCTTGCAATTCTTGATGACCTATCTTACAAATTTAGGACCTGACTAACCAGCTCCCAAAATCATGTAAGCCAACTCCTTGCAATAAATCTCTTCCTAATCCATTTATCCATCTAGAGTATCTATCTATACTTATCTGTCTGTATCTATTTTTCTGTCTGTCTATCCATCCATCCTACTGTTTCTATTTCTCTGACAGAACCCTAACATACTGCTTTTTAAAGTATTAGTCAGGACTCAGGCCCAAACCTCAGTGGGCGCTTGTAAGGTTTCATGATGGGCATCTTTACTCCCTCTTTCTTCTCTTGACACCCACACACCTGCCTTAAGGAAAAGTCACATGTAATATCTACTCATTCTCAAGTATAGTTTTCTGGCACCTGGAAATTTGCCCAAAGTATCGGCTATTGTATAAAAGCCACTTGAACTGCCTCTCAATTGCAAAAGGTCCTGAGGGCAGTTCCTGTGGGATGAGGAAATGTTTATTTCATAGCAAACAAAAGATAAGGGAATGTGTTTTCAAAAACTTTTGCTAGGGAACTTAGAATCACAACTTAATACCATAGGTTTTGTCTTAGTTTGGGCTCTTCCAGAAGCAATCTGGAGACAAGGATTTAGGTATTTGGGAGGTGATCTCCACAGAGTCCTGGGAGAGGAGAGAAATTAGACAGGGAAGGGAAAGTGGCAACGAAGGGTGTGTTATCAAACAAATTACCACTGTGGGCAACATGATCTTAAACCCACTGGGAATCTCTGGGAGTCAATGAGAATATGCACTTTGGAATAATCCCACCAAGGGGGGTGAGGGAGCTAGGTGGTAATACACTAGATCTGTTCAGTCACTGGTTAAGAGTTGCTTCCAGGGGATTGGAATTCTCAGGCACTCTTCCCCTGCTGTTTAAGTGCCAGAGGCAGCCCTGGGCATCTAGAATCAGGCCTACAGTGCTACTATCTCGGGGAGAAGAGAAATGGGTGGAGTGCAGACAAAGTCTGCTAGGGATGTCAAGTTATTCGACCCAAGGTATCTAATATGCATCATTTATAAATGGTGTACAAGAAACAAAATCCTTCCTTAAAGGATTAAATACTACTTCTTTTTTCTAATATTTAAAATTAAATTGTTTTCATCAATTTCCATTAGAATGATGTCTTTAACAAACATAATGGTGTTCATTTGATAAGTCTTTTGACAGTAATGTTTATAATCCAGATGCCAAGTATTCCACTACATTTTTAAAGCACATTAAGGCATTTACCCAGGAAAATGGCACCATCATCATTCATTGTAATATAAAATGCGTCTTCTCTCAGCATCTCAGAATATTTATAGTTGCTCAAGCAAAAGCAAATACTTGGTAACATATTCTTAACCTATGGATAGCTGTGGCTTTAATGGAAATCTCTAGTGTTTCCAAACTTTGGTCCCAGGGCCTCAAAGCATTAATTCTAAGAAGTAACTGCTATGGTTTAGATCTTTAAAGCAGCTTCCATTGCTCGAGCTTTCTCTGTGATGTTCTTCTGAAAAGGCATCATAAAATCTTCAAAGTCCACCTCATAGGTAAACCTCTCCCGCCGTAGTTCCCGCTTCCTAATCAGGTCTGCTGTTGTGGGTTCAGGACTCCAAACCTTTAATAAATAGCCACATTGGAGCAGGAATGAATTTGACAGCCAGTAAGTAGGCTAGTATACAATTTTCAATACATAGTTTATTTATTAGTTTTAACTTAAAACCATATAATTTACTCTTAAGGTATTTTAATTTTTTTCACCCTCTTACATGATATCAGTGCTTACACAAGCATCACTATTTTTTATGACAACTATCTGGACCACTGAGCTCAGAAATATTCAGTTACTTCTCTAGCCAGTTACCCTTGGGACAGCTGCTATTCATTTTTAGGATGTAAAAATAAAGGAATTAGAAGATAATCCAGGTCTACACCCTTTATGTTGCATGTAAAAAACAAATTTACATAATAGAAGGCAGAGGGAGCTGTTTATTAGCTTGGTTTGATGGGCATTGGGAAAACAACTCTTTTCCCCCAAAATGTCTCCACCTCTTTAGTTGTAGGAGGTTACTGAATAAATTGAGTCTTTATTAATATAAAACTCCTCCATGAGATGGTGGTAGAGAGTACAAAGAAGAAGGATAGGGTCTGAGAAATGCCAAATATATAGTGTCCATAGGATGTGGTGACTAAATGGCTATACGGCATACTATTTACTAAAGAAGAATTAGTCTTTCAAAGAAGATGCAAATATCAATATGATAGTACCAATAGAACTAGATATTGGGAGCTAACAGTTGGACTTAACAAAACATTTGAAAAATGCAATTATGAGCTTCTATCAGTCTGTGATCAGCTTTCTAAAGTACTTACTCTCTGTGGAATAAATGTGATATCCACTTTCTTGGTATGACCACTGGTAATCAAGGAATTGAGAGAAACCACATTATCCGCCTGTATTTTCTTTCCCTCTGGTATGGGTGGTACAGTATAAATTGATGAAAGTGCTTCCTGAAACATGACAAGAAAAAAGAAAAACACTTACAAATTGCAAAAATCCATATTCACTTATTATTTGTTATTCTATATCTTCCCCTAAAGCCAGAAAGGAAAAAAATCTCAAAATACTATTATGCAAGTTTTAATATGAGATAAAATAGAATAGTATTATGACTTTAACTGAAGAGAGATAATTAGGTTTCCTTGTTTAACTCTACTTATTCATAGTGTCAGTAACAGATCACACAGTTTCAAGAGGGCCATCCTTGACCTGTGCCCATTCATCAATCTGAGGGTGGAATCCTATTACACTGTTTGATTGATCCTCCTTCAGCTTCTGCCATCCTGAGCAACATCCTCTGTGTATACAATGTCTGCCTTTATCCTATCTGCTTCCTACACCTTCATTCCTCTAACCCTCTCCAAGTTTGATGGCATTAAAGCTTTTCCCTTCTTGACTTTTATCCCTTGTCCTGTGTCTATTCACCAAGAATCTCCAGTGAATCTTCCGTTTCCTCAAAAGAAACTTCCGGCCTAGAAATGTACTTAAGGCTTCCCTGCTAATGGCAGTGTCTTGATGTCTCCATAATTCCCATAAGCAACACCCTCAACCTTCTGCTGGCAGTTTAGAAGTTACTAAACCACTTTATAGTACTAAGAATGATCAACTTGGCACAATCCAAATCTTTTACATTTTGTAAGACACCCAGGTTACCGGGGGCTTCATATCCCACAGCTGATTGGTATTCATTAAAATTCCTTGATGGGAGGGGTGGGGGTAAGGTGGGCAATGAAAAATTATGAGACCAAAATGAAAGGAAATCATGTTTTACCTCATTTTTCACAAGGGTTATCCTTCCCTGTTTGGACCATTTCATTCAATCCATGTAATTCAGGATACACACATACATACACACACATCAAATACCAGTTCTTTTTTGAACAAATTAACGGTATTTGACTGAACCTATCTGTTTTTTTCTGTGAATTCTGTTTGCAACAAGCACTTTTTAGACTCTCCAGTAACAGAAATTGTCTTGCTCGATGTGTCTTTGAAAGTAATGTGCAATGGTGCTGAGGGCAGGCATTGAACAGGGCTTTGCCCGTGTCTGTCGTTTTTCCCCAACAAGTTTCTAAGGAGTTCCAATTCTAAGTAGCCAACCTCTTTCCTTACCTCTTCTTTCTTCACTTCGAGGCCTTCGGTCTTCATTTTAACAGACTGTCTGCCCTTCATTTTTTGATTTTCTGCTGGTTTGGGCAAGTTATCTAGCTTTTCTTTAATCAGGCCAATTATTCTATAATCAGCATATGCCTTTGCAACATCCATGGCACTATGCCCTGTTGAAACAAACACAAAATCGGGGCTGCCACAAATATATTAATGGTAAACCATGTAGAAAAAAAAGTCTTAGCAATCAGCCCTGAGCCTGTATTAATGAGGGTGATA